AAAGTCTGCCTTTAATTTCGATGACAGGTGGCTTCTCACCTGTACCTGCGGAGGAAAATTCTAAAGTCCACGAACCAACATCTGCCATTTCGGATGGTGCCTCCTCATTTCTCCTTAAATCTTTTTGTTCTCAGATAGCCCCTGTTTTTGGTATGTTTCATTAACATGTCTAAGATTCCTGACGCTTGACACCGGAGGTAATCACGCTTCTCCGTAAGAAATATACTAATTTTGGTCCTAAATTTCCCCGTCCAATTGGCTGTTCTTCGACACTTCTGAGGCTTGTCGAACGATCGCCAAACTCCCCTACCCTTTTCCAGGCGTAGTGCCCTAGATGGTCTTGCGCTTGTAATCCGCTCTGCTTAAACAGATCTAGCCAAGGGTCGGCATGCATACTCATGCGCACTTCTTGACTGTTCTTCTGGCTTAATTGCTATCGGGCGCCACTCCCTCCTTAGCAAAACATCTGAGTGCGGCTCTCTGGACTGGATTGTTTATCGACTTGGGGATAACTTCACATTCTGCATCAAGCGGAAATCCGTGAGCTTTGGTCCTGCAGCCGCACCTGAGTGATACTGCATGGTTATTTTCCTTAAAAAATTAGATGTGAGTATGCCGACTTTGCAAGTACCACGTATTTGCACCTTCCTTACCGTTTACATCCAGCGAATAAACATGCCAAGGGGGAGGAGTGCTAATTTGCCAGCCTCGGTTACTTCAGTTGCCAGTTCAAACGCGCTTTCCTCCGCGTAATCCGAGTCCTGCTCGCGCTCCCTTCATTATCCTAACCCAGCGAGTGGCAAAGAAGACTTTCTAATAGAACTGTTGCGAAGGTCTGAAACTCCGTTGGTTCCACTACAGTAGCCATGCACTGTGGATTACCACATGGTACCCTCAGTGGGTCTTTCAGTTGGGATTGCGCCTCCATATCCTCCTAATCGAGCAAGTGGCTGTGTCGGGGGGTGTGTACACGCTACCTTCACCCGTTCCCCTGCGCATGCTTCCAGCCCTACCTGTGCTCTCTCTCTCCCTTCCTAATCCAGCGAGGAGCTAAGTAAGGTATGTTAACAAAAATTGTTTATGTAAGCTAACCATATGGTTTCGACCAAGAGAGGATTCAGAATCAAACCTCGCCCGAAAATCCATTGATCATTCCAATAATTGTGAGATCCTATAAGGTTCGAGTTGCCTCTTCGTCACTTCTTGCTTTCCATCGATAACCTGAGACAGACAAGTGACTGCCTGCATGTGAAGTATGGCGACGATATGGTTGTTGGTTACCCTGTCAGAAATTAGACACATAGTCAGATTTAAAGGATGGTTTGGATCACCTCTGTACATGGTTGCTGGAATATGGTCTCCTATGTAACAATTAGAAACCAGATCCGAAGAAAATTTATCGAAAGCAGATGTCTGATCGTCAAATTGTCTTTCGCATCAGAAAGCAGTCGAATGTGCTTCGACGGCGACCTTCTCCTATGCCCAGATACTTTAACATTCCTCCAAACAAGGGATCATCTTTTTGGTACCTTGGTTTTAGCGTTTCCTCAAATCCCTCATTCTCTCTCTTATTAAAATTCGTTTACTCGTTCATAACATCCATCGCTTATGTTCCTACCACACACTTCAACCTCCAATCTCGAGACTTGTGGATGTCTGCATTCTTCCTTTCTTCTTTCTTCAGTTATTTTTCTGTGAATACCCTCTCCCGTTATTGGCGCTTCTTTTGTCTTTCTAGTCGATACAATAATATAACAAAATTCTGGAAAGATAAAGCAAGTTACTGATTTAACTTTGGATGATATCATCCATTCCGTTCATTCGGAACAAATTATGGCGAAGTCCTCCCGCTCATGCGCCGAGGCCTCTAACATATCACCTGCCGTACATCGGCATATGAGCATTCTGTTTTACCATTTTTGGCACGATAACTTACATTTAAAGAAGACAAAATACAGAAACCAAGACTAGATTTGTATCCGTAGCAGATATTAATTTTCACATAAACATATACAATCGCGCATCGTTTGTGAGTTTATATCCTGATCTAAACAAACAGGGGCCAACTAGGCTGCAAATTTTGAATGATGCGTTCAAAATAAGGCGTATTCCTTTCTATCATTTTGAAGGTAATAACAAAATAAGGCTCTCTTATAGGATGCTTTATTTCCTTCTGCTTGATGGCACTTGATTAGTGAATAACATTAAGTTTCTTGCCAACAGATGTGAAAGCCTCAATAGCCTTGTCGATCTGTTCAGTAGAGTGAGCCGCAGATATCTGCACACGTATGCGTGCCTTTCCTTTTGGTACGACTGGGTAGCTGAAGCCAATTACGTAGATTCCTTGCTCTACAAATGTTAAAATCCGGATATTGTTCTTTGCTGGGTGTTTTTGTCAAAGTAGAATAGACAAGCATGAATGAATTATAGCAAACAATGAACCTTGAAAATTGACAGAAACCTACTGAGCATTTCGTCAGCAAACGTGGCGGCCAATCGAGCGTCACCGAGCATGACAGGAGCAATGGGATGGTCGTAGTCACCCTGTAAGGAGCCAATTTAACAAACGAAATATTTTAAAATATGACTGTATGAAGTAGTAAATAAACGGGGGTTAAATAATAAGACCGAATTGGCAACCCACAGATAGCGTAAATCCTCGGGCGGTCATTGTGTCACGGAATCTCTTAATGTTGCCGTGCAGTTTTTCTGGCAGAGCGGAGCTTTCTGTGAGAAGCTGGAACGCACCCAAAGCGGCGCCAACGACGGCTGGTGGAAGGCTGTTGGAAAACAGATAAGGTCTGCCACGCTGGCGGAGAAGGTTGACGATTTCCTTGGATGCGGTAGTGTATCCACCAGAAGCCCCACCAAGGGCTTTGCCAAGAGTGGAGTTGATAATGTGAACCTTTCCCTGCATGCCATAATACTCTTCTGTGCCTCTGCAAAGGAGATAACAAAGCTTCGAAATCTGCAAAGCTTCAAAATTCGGGGATTTTTTGGTAAAAAGTAAGCCCATACCTGCCGGTCTTCCCGAAGAAACCAGTAGCGTGACATTCATCCATGAATGTTACTGCACCATAGCGATCTGCAAGTTCGCAGATTTTCCTGAAAAGTAAAATTGGTGAGTAAATGGTTAGTTTAAATGATCAAGGTGAATGCACAGCTTATTTTAAGTCAAACATACGGAAGCTTGGCAATATTGCCGTCCATGCTGAACACGCCATCAGTTGCGATCAGTTTCGTACGGCAATCACTGGCTTCTTTTAAGCAGCGCTCCAAATCGTTCATATCACCATGCTTGTATCTAAGACGCTTGGCGCGACAAAGTCTGATTCCATCGATTATAGAAGCGTGATTCAGCTCATCGGAGATTACGCAGTCCTCAGGCTGAAGCAGGGCTTCGAAAATTGCCCCGTTGGCATCGAAGCAGCTGGGGAACAAAATGGAGTCTTCGCGACCATGAAACCGAGCAATCTGTTCCTCCAATTCTTTATGGATATCCTGGAGAAGTCTTATTAATTTCAATATTGTTCGATCTTACTGTTGTTCCACAGATAAACCGAACCGAACTCATTCCAGCGCCATGTGATTTAAGACATTCCATTGCCTTTTCGATCACCTTTGGATGACTCTTGAAAACAAAAAATCACATAAAAAATCACATGCCTACCGCAAGTCCCAAATAGTTGTTTGCACAGAAATTAATCACACCCGTCTTACTTCCGGCAACAGTTACATCGGCAGCCTGCTTGCTAGTGATAACTCGCTCTGTCTTCCAGGTTCCAGCAGCCTTGACACCCTCGAGTTCTTTGCTAATAATGGATTGCAAATTTGCAAGTGCCGAAGCATTTCTTCTGGGCAAAACAGAGGAAAGGATTCTAGCCCCGCCTATAAGAAAATTTTAAAAATATTTCTCACCAAATTCGAGAAGCGGCACTATGCAAAAAGGATAACAATGAACTTGCAGTTCTACGTTTGGCATTTGTCTTGTACATACTTTGAAATTCGCTTAAATAATGCACTTATATCCATAAAAAATTAAAACGTAATATTACCGAGTTATTTTAAGCGAGTGACATTTCTTACTTTGCCTTTGTATTTTTAAAAAACAAGGAGTTGATTGGTTAGAGCATATTATTTAGGTGTGACAATTGATATTATGATGCCATGGGAAAGCTTCACGTTTTCTAACGTTAGAAGATAAAATCGACTTCTATCATGGAGAATAGGGTAACTAGTATCGGTGCATTACGGCTAACCGAGCGAAGTCGCTTAGCTTGTGTGACACTGAAACTCAAACCACAATTTTGTAGGAAAAATGCGCTCCCTCCATAGCAGATAAGTGGCTCGGAATGTTTCGCAGTACGAAATTATGCTTGCACTTAATTCTTTCCTCCGTTTCCGAACTGATTACCCCAATAAGTTTAAAATCTTGTTCAATTACTTTTTCAGAAGTGCTATTTATGTCTCCATAAATCAACTGATCGACTATTTCGCCGGCTGATGGCCTGCTACGACTAGCAGAGGCGTATTTTTGGACGACTGAAGGGTCATGAGGTTCTACATGTCCTAAAAGGATTTATGAGTTAATCAGATCTGCAGACGGCGAAGAACATACGCTGGCACCTGCTATGTCTTCAGTCACGATTTTAGCACCCAGAGACGGTGGGAGGCCGCAAGCTTTCGCCTTTTAGCACGTGCTCTGCGGGGCATTACAGACAAGAAAAGTTTTTCGTTACAGAAGAAGGATCAAAACGTTGCCAACGTGCGGAAATACGCACTGAATAGCAAGTAATATTGTCATTTAACTACGAAAACTAGTAAGCGATAGTAGGGAAATCAGTCACTACAAAGGTTTTTTTTTTACAAAATACGACTATTTTGCCAGATTGTAAAACAAAACTGGGAAAAATTTTACCTTATATTGAAAGGCGACTTTTAAAAGGGACTCAAGTAAAAAACAGGCATTAATTGCTTAAGAATATCCAGATAAATTCAAAGCTGCACTAATCTCTAAAATTGAGCTACGCGCCTTGACCTTGACCTTGAGTTTATTTGACTGAGGATGCGTCTTACTTCTTCGATGGAAAAGGCAACGCTTTCAATGACGGCAGTGTTTTGGCGCATTTGAAGCTCCCGGCTGTCTCGGTCCATTTCAAAATGCCGATTGTCATCTGGGGGCTCCTCCGTAAAAACCGATTGAAAAAAACAGAGACAGTAATTGCACTTTCTGTGACACTTCAACTAATAAGTATCCGAGGCTATCCTATAGACATGCAACTTAACGTACTATTTATATTTCCTCGCCTACATGACACACTTTGCACTCATAGTTTGGCGGACTTCGACTGGCGAGTCTCCTCCTATGTAGTGGATGGCTGCTGCTCAGCTGACACAAATATTTCGTGCGGAAATGTTTATACTGCGAAACGCTGTGGTGTTTGATATATGGCCTCTATAACTGACAGCCTGCTGTATGTGCTGAACCAATACATAGGCGAGCGTACGCCGCGATAATAGGGAACCTGGTCGCCCCGCCTTTTTAACCTGTTCTA